CCCTGCACCTTCCCTGAGCTGGGAGACTGGAGCAGTGGGAGCACAGGAGCTCTGGGTCAGACAAACTTCGTGATCCTTTGTCCCTGATGCTTTCTGCTCTGTCATCTTGGATAAGTCACGTGGCCTAGGATAACCACTGGCCGTCCCATCTGGGCCTACAGATGACTATCTGTAACATCCTTCCAGGGGCGATAAAATAAAATAACACAAAGCATGGACCTGGGGTGGCTCAGTGAATGTGGGTTCCTCCCTCCCTGCCTGTAACCCCATGAATTGCCCTGGGAAAGGCTTAGCATCTGGACACAAACCCAGAGGAAGCTGCTGACTCTGGGGACAGAAGTTGGAGAGTGAGGGGCTCCTCAGTGTTCTCCCCGGGGCCGGAGGTCGCTCAGGAGGCCCAAGGGCCAAAGAACATCACAGCTCACAGTCATTGCCCGCCCATGGGCTGGACACCACTGACTGTGCCGCCCTCCCTCACGGTGGGCGCTGTGGGTCCCTTCTCATCACTCCCAGCTGCTCCCAGCGGAGCCTCCCGGGTCAGGCCCGGCCCTATGACCTGCCTGCCTGCCGGACGCAGATCCATAGCTCACGGAGGCCTCCGCCTTTGGCTCCTTGAGAAAGCGAGTGGGGGCTGAGCTGACGGGGCTATGAATGAGAAGTGGGGGGAGTTGACTGTGCTGGGGGTGTCCCACCCAGGGCCTGCGGTTCCTGTCCTTGCTGGAATTCCTCGTCTCCCAACCGGCACCCCCTGGAGCCTTCCCGGTGGGGCTGACCTGCCCTGGGCATGGAGGAGCACTGGTCCTGGAGTCCAGAGCTCGAGGCTGGCACCCTTAGAGGGTAGAAAGGTGAGCCCTCTCCAGAGCTTTTGCGAGTTACTACCCCCACTGCAGGCTCGCCAGAAAAATCCATTGTGTTCATTCAATGAGACCTGAGTGTCCACTGAAACTGGAGTCCTAAGGATGCAGAACAGACACTGCCCTCCATGTTACCTAAACAATCATCTTGTGCCCTGGCTGGTTTGGCTCAGTGGATTGTGTGCCGTCCTGTGGGCCAAAAGGCCGCCGGTTCGATTCCCGGTCGGGGCACATGCCTGGGTTGGTTGCAGGTATTTCTTGCCTATCGATGTTTCTCTTCCTTTTTCTTCTCCCTCCCTTCCCCGCTCTCTGAAAATAAATAAATAAAATATTTAAAAAATAAACAATCATCTTGTAAGTAATAGAATCTTACAGCGAGAAGCAAGAGAGGCTGCCACAAAGATCTGGGAGCAGGGGGGCTTCGAAGAGGGGCCCGACCTCAGCACGAGAGCCGAGGTGAGCAGGAGGGGCCTAAAGCCCGGGCGGGTGCCGTGAAGACAAGAGCCTCCAGGCGGGAGAGGGCGTGGCTGGGTCAGAACGGCGGACTTGGCTCTCTCCCTAAGATCCTGGCCACCCCTCACTGTCACCCAGGTAACTCCCCTGCCTTCTCTCCCTTCCCTGTCCCTGCCAGGGGCTCCTAGAAAACAGGACAGCAGGCTGCGCAGGTCCCCAACATATTCCCTCTCCTTGTCCCAGGCCAGGGGAAGGGGTTGGAAGCTTAGGGCCCCAGGGGTCTGGCCAAGGACCTCGGAGGGGGTAAAGGAGAGAGGGGGCCCTGGGGCCTGCCAGAGACAATGGGAGTGTGTGTGTGTCTGTGTATGTGTGTGGCGGGGGGGTTCTCACCTGTCCCCCGTCCAGGACACCCTCTCTGTCCTGCTCCCCAGTAGGGCACGGAAGGTAGTTAGTTCTCGAGCCTGGCCCTGCCTAGACCCCTGGCACGGACCCTCAGGGACTCTTGCCATGGGGCACCCAGTCCCAGGTGACTTTTTCCCAGGTCAGGCCGGGGGAGGTGGCCTGAGCCAGGTGTGTGCTGCCCAAGGCGGGGTGTCAGAGTGACTGCGCCCCAAACTCACAGCTCTCGTGGGGGGTGTGCCTCCTTCTGTCCTCTCTCTGGTCCGGCAGGAGTTGGAGGGCAGGAGGCTGAGGGACTGGCCCTGCTGACCTCTTGGGTCAGAGCAGCGACCGGATGGGAAGGGGCTCGTGACTCAAAGACGTCACTCCAGCGGTGCCTGCGGGGCCTTCTGGGCTATGGCAGATAGCGGCTGGGCCAAAACCTTTACTGGAAGAGCAGCCCAGGGCCTGAGCCTTAATTTCTCTGTGAAATGGGCCGCTTTGCCCTCTCTGCCTCTTCGGTGGGGTGACTGACCGACCTTGTCCCTGACAAGCTGGAAGGTGGTGGCATGATGTGGGTGGCACTGCTCTCTGGTGGCTGGAGCTGGAGTGGCCGGGCGCCTGTGCCTGGACCCAGACGGTGCTGCCCCCTGGGGATGGGCAGGGTCCTCTTCATCTCTCCGTCTTCACTCCATTTCCTCCTCCTTCTCCCCAAACTTCCCAGGGGCCTCAGGACTGCTTTGTCAGGAGCGGGGATAATCCAGTTCAGCAAACGTGTCTGTTCAGCAGGCGCTGAATGGGCCTGTCTGTCGTCCCGTCTGCGCCGGGTGTTGGACCGCAGAGCTCTCGCAGACACGGGGCGACTGTCTGGCTAGTGGGGAGCCGCTCCTCTCCAGAGCGCCAGCTTCACAATGAATGAAAGTATGACACGTCCCAGAGCTGCGAGTCCTGTGGGGCTGGAGTGGAGGGGATGCAGAGGTGCAGGCGGGACCCCGACCGGGAGGGTGTGAATGTGGCCCCCGTTGGCATGGCGACGGTAAAACTATGTGAGATTGGAAGGAGGGGCTGACAGCTGACTTCAGTCCTTCTTGTGGAAGATGGGGAGTCGCCAGGGGTGATGTGTGTCTGTGTGTTAGTGCTTTAGAAACCACTTTCTAGCCGTGCCAGTGGGTGGGGGGGTCTCATTCTGGGAGGTGAAAGGTTCTGAGTCAGATGCGGGCGGTGACTGCACATTCTGGGAGTGCACCCAAATCCATGGATGGACACGTTCAAGTGCAAACTTTAGGGTATGCAAATTATAGCTGTTTTATTTTTTTAAGATTTTATTTATTTGTTTCTATTTATTTTTTAAAGACTTTATTTATCTTTAGAGGGGAAGCGAAGGAGAGAGGAAGAGAAATATCAACGTATGGTTGCTTCTCGTGTGTCCCCTGAAGGGAACTGGCCTGCAACCCAGGCATGTGCCCTGACTGGGAATCGAACTGGTGACCCTTTGGTTCGCAGGCTGCGCTCAATCCACTGAGCCACACCAGCTTTTTTTTTTAAAAAAAAGAGGGATAGGGTTGTTATGGACTAAATGTTTGTGTCCCCCGAGTTGGTGTGTTGAAACTCTAACCACCCCCCTGCCCCGTGTGATGGTATTTGGAGGCGGGGCCTTTGGGGAGTGATTAGGTCGTGAATTCTCACGGAAGGGAACTGTGGTCTTAAAAAAGAGACCTCCCTCCCCCCTTCTGCCGTGGGAGGACACCACGGGGAAAGGTGGTCATCTGTGAACCGGGAAGTGGGCCCTCACCAGACAGGGGGTCTTGGACTTCCAGCCTCCAGAACCGTGAGAAACAAAGTCTTGTCGTTTGGGAGCTGCCCGCTCTCTGGCCTTTCGTTGCAGCAGCCTGAACGAGCTGAGACTCAGCGCCTGGTCTTCATATTGACGGAGTAATCGGTATTCATGAATGAATAAACGAGCGCAGATAGAGGGAAACATTCTGACCACACGCTCCCCCGGAGGGCGGATGGGCAGGGTACTCTGATCCTCCTTCCTGGGTTGTGTCTCTTGTCCCTGACGTGTCCTGGGCGTCTGACCCTGAGGGCACCTGGTCAGCAAGCCTCCGCCCCAGATGCACCTCGGGGCCCTGTCCTGGGCTCAGGCTCCGAGTGGTGGCTGTGTCTGGGGAAGGAGCTCCTGGAATTTCTTACACTTGACGGGAGTGGGAGTGGGAGGGATGGACTGGAGATGGACCCACATCGATGGAGGGTGCCGGGCGGAGGTCAGCACCGTCTGGGGAGAGGCCTCAACGCAGAGGAGCTTTAGAGGGGAGATACCAGAAATATCTAGGCAGTAAATTGAACCAGACTTGGTGACTGATTGGGTACTGAAGAGAAGGGGACCAGGGCACCAAGATCCATCCCGACGTCTTCAAAGAAGCATTGACTGGCCCTCTCTTTCTGGGCCTGCAGGCTGCCCCAGTCCCAAGGCTTAGAAATGGCCACTGGACTCTTCTGGCGCCTACAGTTCACTCAGGATTTCCGGCGACCCCGTAGCTGTCCGTCCCGTGCTGGGCGCAGGGGGGACATGCCCCTGCGCAGAAGGGGTGCACACGCACTCCGACCACTGCTGGCCTTCGGATGAGGGATGCTCTGGGGCGGCGGGAGAGGGTGGCGGAGCTGCCTTTACCTGGACACGTCCGAGCGGGTCTCCGGAAAGAACAGGTGTTTGCCAGGGTGGAGAGAGACGGGCAAGGTGAGTGCGCGCTGGAGGTAAATCTGGAGGAAAGGCAATAAGGCCAATGAAGGAATGAGAGAGAGGGCTGTCCAGGGCTGGAGTACGGCAGTGTGGACGCGAGGGTTCGAGAGTGTGTGACGCGCCAGAGTGGGCAGCGCGTGGAGACCGTCCTGGGGTCTGGGTTGATCTCTCAGCCCTCGGGGAAAGAAAGACACGATGTTGCCCAAACTCACAGGCCAACTCCAGGAAAGAGAGGAGGAAGGGGGTGCTCCCAATTAAGGACTTCCGAGTGCCCCCAGAAGCTGAGGTTTGGGGCAGAACCATTCTCTGGAGGTGGAGAGGGGAGGAGAAGCCGTGCACTCATAGCCAAGCCCGCGCGAACCAGCTGGAACCCTCGTTCGAGTCTCTGGCTCCACTTTAATTGTTTTTCCTCTTTTTTTCTGCCACCACGAGCTCGCCCACGCGCGAGCTGCGGGCCTGAGCACCACTAGTTGCTCCTCGGCCGCCCCCTCCCGCTCGTGGATCGGCCCGGTGGGCGCCGAGCCAGGCGCAGGTTATAAAGGCCGAGCTGTGACGGCTGACTGCTGTCCCGAGATGCGCCCGATGGAATCGGGCGAGGGCTGCGCCGGGGATGGGCCCGGGGACTCCCCAGCGATGACCCCCGCACCCCCGCCCGCAGCCAGTCCCGCTCCAGAGCCCTCCGCCGAGCGGGCGCCCGCTGCGGGACCGGTAGGGGGGTCCGGATCCCCTTCCGTCTCGGGACCCCCAGCCGGAGCTTGCCCGGTTTCCCAGGCTGGGTCAGAGGCGGGAGCCTCACTCGCCCCGGTCCACGGGGATGCCCAGTCTGTGCCCGGCAACTCGGACGCGCCGAGGACCCACTCCATATTCCAAGGGTCTCCTGCTCCCCAGACCCCTGAACTGGGGACGGGAAAGGCAGCGGACGTCTGGGAGACGCAGGCCACCTGCACTGGCCGGCGGCCGTGGGTGTCGCGCCCGGAGCGCTCCACCTTTATTCGGGAGCAGGAGGAAGGTAAACCAACCTGGTCCCGGGACCCCGAAGCCGGGGAGGGCTAGGGCAGCTTAGGGGAGGAGGGGGCGCCGTCGGGTCCAGGCGCGTCGGTCCCGCTCCTCCACCCGCCCACGCGTTGTCACTGCCTGCAGTGCCCATCCGGTCGCCTCTTCCCCACCTCCTCCCCTTCTCTCGGTCCCTGATTTCCGTCAGTGGGTCAGGTCCCGGGGCCCGCGCGCTCCCCCGCCCCCACTGCGCGCCTGTTGCTGCGCCAGATCTGCGCACTCTCGTGCCCACCTCCCGGGTCTACCGCAGTGCCAGGAGAGGGGCGGGGGCTGCGGGAGGGCGCTGTCCGCGCGCTCTGAGCCTGCGCTGGCCCGCAGCGCCAGCCACCGGAAGGTGGGTGGGCAGAGGGGGAGGTTTTGCCAACCTCTTGGCTGCGGGGCGGGTTAAGGTGCAGCTCTCCCCAGCTCCCTCCAGCCTGGGGGTGGGCAGGCCCTCAGGCAGACTCTGCCCCTTCTTTTCCCTCCCCTCCCTCTCTGGAGATCTGTGGATTGGGTCTGGAAGCTCAGGTGCTCCGACTCCAGTGCCAGAGAAATCGCGTTCCCTCTCCTCTCCGCGCGCAACAGGTGCAGGGGTGGTGACTGCGCCTGTTTTTATGACCCGCGAGGCCCCGACGAGCTGGCCATAGCTCCCCTCTGGTTAAGGGGCGACGAGTCAGTCTGCGGGTTCTCCCAGTGCCAGGGAGCCAGGCATCCTGAGAGCCCATTTCCACCTGAGTCTGGAGGATTGTGGTCTCCTAACCCCTCCGGGGGAGGGGGGGGGCGGCGAAAAAAGGAAGAAAGGAAAAGAGTCCTGTTGGCTCTGGGAGCAGGGAAGAGAATACTGAGTCCTGGGAGATATGGAGGGGAGGGGACGGCGGGAGCAGGAAGGAGCCCAGTCGTCTCCCCTCTTGTTGCTAACCCATGTTGTCGAGGGAGAGTGGGCACAGGGCAGGGAAGAGAGGATGCAGGGCAGCAGGCTGACGCCCCCCTTCCGCTGACCTGGCTGCTCCACTTTCTCTTGCAGCACTGTGTCCGGACCAACCCCTGTCAGTCAAGAAGGCCACCCAAGGGGATGTCACAGTGATGACCGACTTGCCAGAGGAGGTGTGCTGCCACCCTGCCCCACACTGAGCCCGCCCGGACTTTAGCCGGGTCCCTGTCTGCGTTCTGTCCTGTAGGGGCGGGGGTCTTGTCTGTTTCCTGCCTGGCCGCCTCTCTAGGGGCCAAGCTGAGAGTCCCGCTTATGGAAAGCAGGTGAAGGTAAGATGTCCAGGCTGGAAGAGCTTTTGGAGTCAGCTGGTCTGATCTGCTCTTTTTCCATAAGGGGAAACCGAGTCAGGCCCCACCTCCGGTGAAGGGCAGACTCTTGCGCGACTTGCCTAGCTTCCCTCTGACCCCTGCGCGCTCCCTTGCTTCTCCCACGGGTCTGGGAGACCCCAGAAACCCCAGGAATTTATTTCCCATGGATGGGGGTCCCCCTGCAGAGAGAGTGGGACCTGGATACAGCGGCTCACATAGACCAGTCCCTGGTGAAACAGAACGGTGTTCTGATGGAGGAGAACAGCAAGCTGGAAGCCATGCTGGGCTCGGCCAGGGAGGAGGTAACTGGGCAGGGGAGGGAGTGAGGGGCGTGCCCTCCGGGCCGACCTGCAGCTCCTGCGCCCCGCTCTGACCCAGGGCCACTCTCCCCCTGCCAGATTTTACACCTTAGACACCAGGTGAGCTTGCGGGATGACCTCCTTCAGCTCTACTCAGACTCCGACGATGATGATGATGATGAGGAGGAGGAGGAGAGAGAAGAAGAGGAAGAAGAAGAGGAAGAGGAGGAGCAGCAGCAGCAGTGTGATCATCCCTATGAAGCCCCTGAGCTGTGAGTGCCCTGCCTTTGTACTGGACGATCCAGGTTTCTTGTTTGCAGACAGGGGCCTGGACGGCCACTGTGCCTGTCAGCAGGGGCTGACTGAGGTGCCACACTTAGCCCAGGAGGGCTGGGAGCTGCCCTCCCCAGCCTGACCCCTGGCAGCACCCTGACCCCCATCGCTCCCCTCCCTAGGACGCTGCCGAGCGAGCCGGAGCTGCCGCACCACTGCCCGCAGCTGGAAGCCCTGCAGAAGCAGCTGAGGCTGCTGGAGGAGGAGAACGGGCAGCTGAGAGAGGAGGTGAGACTCGGGAAGAGGGCTAGCCCGCGGGCAGGGGATGTTGACCGGCCTGCTCCTTCCTCTCTCCCTCCTTCCAGGTTTCTCAACTTGACGTCCTTGAGGGGGAGATGCTTATTCTGGAATGCGTGGAGCGGTTTGGTACGTGAAGTTGTTTCTTGGAGCAGAGGGCAGAACTCAGGACCCGAGACCTGAGTTCAAGTCCCAGTCCAGGCACTTCCTAGCTGTGTGAACTTGGACAAGTTCCATGACCTTTCTGAACCTTCATCTTTAGAATGGGGATTGATAATCTCAGCCCTCCTGACCTCTCCAGGGGTTACAGCTGAGGAAATGCTTTGTGCAAACTGTAAAGAGCTGTACAGAGGCTGTGGTCTCCTCGAAGCCGGTCTCCTTTTGTTATCTGGGACAAGGGGAAAAGGGCTGGAAGCGAAGCAGGGAGGGAGCTGTGACCTCCCAGAGACCAGGCACCCGAGGCTCCGGGGCCAGGGCACTTCAGAGTCCTGCCTCAGACGGCAGCTGTGCGTGGCCCTGCGTGTTGATGAAGGTGGGCCAGGCATGGTGTTTGGGCCCCAAGAGCTCGGCCTGGCTGGTGGGATGCAGCGTTGAAGCGGCAACCGCTCTTCCCCTCACCTCGAACCTCATCCTTCTTTCCCTGTGTTCCCTGGCTTCCTGAACGGCTCCATGGGTCCCCAGACCCCTAAAGGGGGAGCCAATCCTCCCATTCTGTGGCTCCTTCCTTCTAGGAAAGGCTCAAGTCTCTCTCTCTTCCTCCCTACCCCGGCTGCTGCTAGCCCAGGCCACTTCTGAACTGGCCTCCCTGTCTCCGCTCCGGCCTTCCCAGGTCCCTTTGCACACAGCCTAAATGACTTTCCTGAAAGCGCGTTTGCCTGTGTCACTCTTCTTCCTGAACCTCCCCAATAACTTCCCATTGGCTGAAGGATAAAGCCCAACCTCCCCGCCAGCCTCTGAGATCTGCCCCCTGCCCCAGCTGCTTCGTCCCAGCCTCCTGTGATGTCCTCTGGGCCTCCCCACACCCAGCCTGGGCCTTTTCTTCTGCCTGGCTGAGCCCTCTGTGCCCCCTGGAGGTCTTCACTTCGAGATTTTGCAAAACAAGGCCGGGCTGAGTCCTTCACAGCTGCTCCGTCGCAGTCAGCAGTGTGCACCATTGTGACTTCTATTCCCATCAGTCCTCGTCTTGCTAGACTTGAGTTCAGTGGGGCTGGGACCAGGTCTGGCTGACCGCGCACCCAGTGCCCTGCTCCACGTCAGTCAGTAACGGTTTATTGGGAAGGAGACCTGAGTTAGGAATGCTACCCCGGCGGACCCAAGGGTACTCTGCAGGATCTGAGGGTGGGGGTGGACAGAGGCCTCTGGGAGGACCAGAACTGACTCCCTGTCCCCACTCCTCCTCAGCGGAGGCCAGCCAGCAGATGGCCGAGCTGTCGGAGGTGCTGGTGCTCAGGATGGAGAACTATGACCAGCAGCAGGAGGAGGTCACCCAGCTGCGGACCCAGGTCACCAGCCTGCAGCAGCGCTGCCAGTCGGTGAGTCGGGGTGTGTGTGAGGCTCCCTCCCTGTGTCATGGCGCCAAGGGACCATTTCCCTGCCCCTACCTCCCGGAGCTGTCAGCTTAGCCCCAGGCCAGAGATAAGAGTTGGAGGAGGCCTCAGAGAGCCCGTGATCTTGCCCCCTCATCCCAAGAACGGGGCCAAAGAGGTCCAGGAACCAGGCCACACACCCCCCTCTTCCCCTTTTGGCCTGATTTCATGTGACTTCCCATTGAAAGGGCTGCCAAAGACTCACTGATGTGCCTGGGAGGACTTGCCCGAGGCAGGGGGTGCACGGCAGCTGGATGCTCTGGGTGGGGCTCACCGGGCTTCGGTTCTTCCAGTATGGGGCTGAGACCGAGAGGTTGCAGCAGCAGCTGGCTTCGGAGAAAGAGATCCAGATGCAGCTCCAAGACGAGGTGAGCCCCCCCCCCCCCCCCGGGTTCCTGCCCTGGTCCTTGAGAGCCTCCTCCCGGACTCTCCCAAGAGGACAAGCTCCTGGCACCAGGGGTGGGTCTGTCTCTTCGCCCTCAGTGTCTGGCACTGGGCCCGACAGGTGGAGGTTCAGTCGGGGTCTGAGTGGAGTGGAGTCTGGGTACCTCCTGGGGTCACCCTGTGTGTCCTTTGGGTCTGCAGTCTGGGCCTCCTGCCTCTTGGCCCAGCTTTCTGGCCCCCTGGGGAGGTGGTGGGCTGGGGGTGCCCGAGTCCCAGCAGCTCCTGTGGTGGGTTCCAGCTGCAGGACCTTCGGGAGAAGTACATGGAGTGTGGGGGTGTGCTGACTGAGGACCAGGAGAACCCCCTCCGCCAGCGAGCCCCTGCGTCCACGGGCTCTGCCGCCCACTCTGCACACAATGGCCCTGCGGTGAGGACCTCCTGCCCGAGGCCTTTCCACTCCTGTCCCCCGTGTCTCAGCCCTGCTGGATGATTTCTATCCTCAGTCCCTTTCTGTCTCTGGAAGTGTGGGTGGGGCTCAGTGGGGACCCTCTGGTCATGTCCCCCCTACTCTATAGGAGGAGCTTCCAGGTTGCCAGGAGTCCCCGGCTAAGGAGCGCAAACGGTCTGTGAGGAGAATCGTCTTGGACCCTCTGTACATTATGGAAGGGTACGTGGCCGGGCCCCGGGCCCTGCTGACCCGCACCCACTCTCGCCTTTCCTGCAGTGCGAGGCTTTGCCCTCCTGTATCTACCTTCCTTCAAGGCAGCGCCCGTCCTCCTGCCTCCCTCTCCCACCTTGTTCGCTGCCCAGCCCCTCCCACCCCACTGGCCTTTTCTGTAACCCCAGGGTCTGGGTCTGGGCTGCTCAGTTCTCCCTGGGGTTCCTGCCTGCTGGGGCCCCAGGGACCTGGCGGTTTTAGCTTCCGTTGCCTTGTACTGTGATGGTCCTTCCCTCTGTTGAAGGAATTCTGAAATAAACTCAGAGGAGACTCTAAACCTGGGGTAAGCCAACCAGGGGCACCCCTGTCACCTCCCCTCACCTCTCAGCAGCCAGACAGCTGCCTGAAGCTGGCTCTGTGCCCCCCTAGCCCTGGACGAGGCCCAGATTTCTGTTGAGTAGAAAGTCATTCTGGGAAGAAGCTGCTTCCTTTTACTTCAGATCTTGCCCCATTGGTGGCTGTCCGATTTCAGGCAGCCCCTAGTGGACACCGGAGCCTTCCCTTTCCCTGCCCAGGGCTGGGAGGCACATGGACAGTGGCCTTGGAGCTGGGAACACCTGGGCCTGAGTCCTAGTTTTGATCCCTTTCTTGGCTGTGTGTCCTTGAGCAAACCACGTGACCTGTCTGAGCCTTACTATGAAAACTAGCTGTGGGCTGGGGTGTAGAGGTTAAATAATGAAAGAGGGGGCAGTGGCAATATTATCCCTGTTAGTCCCTGCTGAGCAGCAGGGTTGGGGGCTCAGGGAGGGCAGGGCCTGGGCGGTGTTAGAGACCCTCTTCCTCCTTCCTGCTGTGAGCTCTGGGGTGGCTGCGAGTTTGATACCTTGAAGGGGCACCCAGTTCCCCTCCCTCCCGGCTGGGACAGAACTGTGTTGTAGTTCTGGGTCTGTGTATAGACTGAGCAGAGGGTGGGATTACTCCTCAGCCCTCGACCCCCATGGCGATGCTGGGGCTGGCAGGCGGGGGCATGGTAAGCCTTCGTCTTCCTGCCCAGGTGTGAGCTGTACTGCAGTGAGGACCAGGAGCAGGAACAGGAGCAGGAGCAGGAGCCAGGGTTCGAGGCCGAGGAGGGGTCCATGCCGGCAGAGGAGTTCACACTCGTGGAGCTGCTGGTGCCTGAGGAGGATCTGGGGGCCATAGAGGAGGTAGTGCCGCCCGAGGACAGGGTGACGGACCACGCGGAGCTGGTGTTGGAGGAGGCTGAGGCCTGGGAGGAGGTAGAGCTGGAACTGGATGAGGCGGCCCCGAGGAATGTGGTGACCTCAGACCTGGAGGCCAGCAGCTTGGGCCTCTCACACCTGGACATTAAGCATGTCCTCCAGCAACTGGCCAACTGGCAGGACACCCATTACAGGCAGCAGCCGAGGCAGAAGACACCCCAGAAAGGTGAGTGCTCCCATGGGGCCTCCCTCCAGCCAGACGGACAAGCTGCAGATCGTCAAGCCGATGAAAGGTGAGGGTAGGTGAGCCCCCACCAAGTGCTCACTTACCCCAGCCTGGCCCCACCCAGTGTGCTGATTTGCATGGACTTTGTGTATCACTTGCCTAGACACCTCAGGTTCCCCTCAGCTGGGATGGGCCCCAATGCTCATTTACATGGAATTTGCATAGGATTCCGGATCTCCACCCCCTTTTCTCCTGGGGGCTGGGCTGGGGATCAGGGCCAGGACTGTAGCTTCCTTCCCTTGCGCCTCAGCTTCCTGTCTCTGCCCACCCCCTTTCCCACCACCCTCGTTCTTCCCCACCCCCAAGACTCCCTAACCCTGCAGCAGAGGCAGCAGGAAGCCAAAACAAACATGGGGGACAGGACCATGGAGTAGCAGCCCTGGGTGCAGACCAAGAACTCTCGAAGGCTGAAGCAGGACAGGGCCAGCCGCCCTCCCATGGCCTGGGAGGAAGCGGGGCCTTCTGCGGCAAAGGCCTCCATCAACAAGGGCAGTCGGACAAGTCCCCTGGGTGAGTCTGAAGGTGGGCTAAGGCCTCCGGCAGGGTGGTGGCGTGGGTCAGGGTCTCCTCTCCCCAGCTAGGAGTGCGGAAGGTTGGGGACCTGAGCCTGCTGAGTGCGGGCCGTGTGCGGGGCTGTGTGAGCCCTGCCTTCTCCAGGGGCTCATGAGACATCAGCGATGATTCACTGACACATGTCATCATCTTTAATCTTATCTCCACACCCCTGTGGGTAGGTATTATCACCTCCATTTATTTGGGGAAGAAACTGAGGTTCAGAGAACAGAGTAACTCGTTCAAGGTCACACAGCCAGGGTGGATCTGAGCCTGGTCTCTGCATTATTAATTCATAACGACCGCCCTGGCCCCTCCACCTCCTCTGAGCCCGTCTGCGGGATGAGCCGTGATGTTTATAACCTGATGGCTGCCTCACCGTTATATCTGGACTGCCTCCACTCAGATGGCCCTTTGGTCACCACAGGGTGGCCTCACTAGGGTCACCAGGTGAGGCTGTGCATGTTGTAAACTGAATGGTGACCCGTATGGCAGTGGGAGACCTGCGTCACTGTCAGAGGTGGCTGTCTTCTGCTAGGGCTGCCCAGGCCCCAGCCTCTGCCCACTGCCCAGGCCAGGCCTGTGGTCCTCAGGCCCCTCCGTTCACATCCACCCTTCTCTTCCAGGGTTTGCTGTTTCCCAGCAGCCTGCAGAGGCCCCACGGACAGCCTGAAGCCCCTTCTTCTGCTGCCTAACCAAGTCCCACCCGCCTCCCCTGTCCTTCCCACCCTCCAAAACGGGACCCCCATCTGTCACCAGCCCACCCCATGTCCTGATGAACCCGAGCCGGAGGTCGAGGGCCCAAGCCATGACGCTCTTCCGAGACGTGCTGAAGGACGCCCGGGCCTCCTTCTGCAGCCAGTGCGAAGGCTGTGGTTGCTGGTCCCGGATCGCAAGGTGGCCCCCAAACGCAAGGTGGCCCCCGATCTCAAGGTGGCCCCCGGGCAGGAGCAGCCCAAGGGGAGGCCCACGAGCTACCAGACTGAGGTCTGAGCTGAGGGCCGGGGGTAGGCCTGGCCCAGGAAGTTACTCTGAGCACCCTGCTAACAGCATGCTCTTCATTCCTTGGCTCCCAAGCTAAAGGTGGCTCCTGAGTCCTTGTCGACTTTTAGGGATCTCCGTTCTTGGCCCCTTTCTTCTGAGCCCCTAATTCCTGTTTGTCACTGGTGTGTCTCTACCTGTGGGTGAGGAGTCCCTCTGCCCAGTCTTGTGCCTTCCCCCGCTGTCCTGCCCCCCGCCTCGGCCTGTGAGCACCCAGGCTCCTGCCCTAGGCCCAGTCACTCCCTCCCACCGTGCGCCCCTCGGTGCCCTTCCAGATGTTCTCCCATTTCCCACCCTTTACTCGTCAACAGCTGGAGCCAGGAGCGCAGGACCCCCACCTGTGCCTGCCCTGCTCCCCGCAGTGCTTCTCGCTCTCCTGTTGCTTGTCAGCCTGTGTATGTGCCGGCGCAGGAAATAAAGCAGCTACCTGTGCACCGCTGGGTCTGGTCTCGAGACATCTTTCAGGGAGCGTGCATGCGTGTGCACGTGTGTGTGAACGAATGCACCCTGGTGTGGCAAAGTTGTGGAGAGAAGCTGGGCTCCAATATCGAATATGCCCAAAGCTTTGATTACACGGATTACTTAACCATGTCAGCAGCCCCTGTGGGGGGTGGGGTGGTGGTGGTTGTCAGATGAGGGAATTGGCCCGGACAGGTTAAGTGACCCTCCTAAGGGTCTAACAGCTGGTCATGGAGCTAGGACTTGAACCTGAGACTTTGCCCCTGACTGGTGTTGCTCATTTGGTTGAGCATCGTACTGAAAAGTGAAGGCTCACTGGTTTGGTTCCTGGTCAGGTCATATGTCTGGGTTGTGGGTTTGGTTCCCAGTTGGGGTACATACAAAAGGCAACCAGCAAGCGATCGACGTTTCTCTCTCACATGGATGTCTCTCACCCTCTCTCCCTCCCTTCCCCTCGAAAAATAAATAAATAAAGTCTGGAACCCAAGACGTCGGACCTCCTGATCCTTTCTGCTCCAGGGCCTCCGACCTAGTGCTCAGTGTGAAGGGTGGAGCAGGGGTGAGGGTCTCCCTGTCTCAGACAGGGGGCCCCTGGAGGCGGAAGCAGACTTGGATCGGGGTTTGAAAACAAATAGTGTGTTTGGAAGGTGATCCCAGGAAGCACTCTTGGAAAGAGCTGGGGACTTGAGAACAGAAGGAACCTAATGAAAGGGAGTTTTAGGCAACCGAGGCCAATCCTGGGGAATTCTGGGAGGAAGTGTAGTGTTTTACAACCCATCACTGGCCAGCATCACTGACATCTCCTGGGAGTTTATCAGAAATGCAGAATCATGCCCTGACCAGTGGGGCTGGCTCAGTTGGGTGAGTGTAGTCCCGTAGAGCAAAGGGGTGCCAGTTCGATTCCCAGTCAGGGCAATACCTAGGTTTTGGGCTCTATCCCTGGTCGGGTGCTCACTAGAAGCAACCAAATGCTATTTCTCACATCAATGTTTCTCTCCCTGCTCTTTTTTCCCCTTCCCTTCTCTCTTAAAAATAAAGAAAAGAAAAAAAGAAATACAGAATCTCAGGTCCCACCCCAGACCCATGGAGTGAAAGTCTGCACATTATCATGGTCCCTCACAATGCACATGCATGTTAAAGTTGGGGTCACACCAACATGGAGCCCATCTCAGTTATCCCACTCAAGTGGTGGGGGAGCTGGGACAATTCTCCTTCTGCACTGGCTGAGCGCTGTTCCTGGGGGCATTAACTCACTGCCGCCCTGGCCCCCCCCCCATGGGCTGAGGCAAAGACCCCTGGCAGAGAGAGACTGGGCTTGTAGCCGAACGTGGTCAGCACGTACAGGATGGTGAGCGCCAAGGGTATGGGCGGGGCCCGGGAGCCTGCTGGAATCCACCTCCTGCACCAACGGAGCAGGTAAGCTCCATCGTGGAGTTCCCTCTGGCCTGGCATTGCTTCTTTAAGATGACGGCTGCTCAGAGAATCTGAAAACAAAACTTCACACCTGGAGGGCAAATGGTATAAGCTGCGATCCCCACGGCGGCCGTTGGCCCTCATGCCTTCAAGCGCTATTCTCATCTCTGTTCTCAGACGGAGGACTCCTCCTATATTCCCCGCATCCTTGGCTGCTGGTCCACGTTGCTTTCCTGGTGCAGTAACCTAGACCTTCACTCCTGAGAGGTCTGAACCCTTGGTCGCCATGCCCACTTCAGGCCATTGCTGCTGCACCTTGCTGCTTATGGTCATCTCCAGGCAAGGAGGCCCACGAGGCACCCCACACCCCAGACCCTGAGCATGCCTTCCTTCTCCCACCGTGAGGCAGTAACGCCAGCTCCTCGTGCTAATCAGAGTCCACAGCCTCTGATAGTAACTGACTTTTCTGTTTGCCGTTTGACGGCACAAAGAGCCAAAAATGGCCGGGCAGCAGCTGTGCCTCTAGGGTTTAGGGGAGTCGAATGTATTCCCTGGTAGGCGCGTCCTCACCTAGGAGCCAGGGTTTCTGGTCCAGAAGTGTCTGGAACTGAGAAGACAGGGGGCACAAACCTGAGGTGACTCTTGGCAGGGAAGGTGACAGGGGCCACTTCCATGCTACCCCTTGGGGTCTGGGCCCATGTGTTCTGGATGTCACGGTACAGCACTGTGTAATAACCCCTGGCTCAGAGTACATTCTGCACCCTAGTCCCCTAATGCACTTAAAAAAAAATCCTCTCCAGAGGACATGCTCACTGATTTTAGAGACAGGGGAAGGGAGGGAGAGAAACATCCATGTGACAGAGAAACATCGATGGGTTGCCTCCTATACATGCCCCAACCGGGGACTGAACCTGCAACCTAGGTATGTGCCCTGACTGGGAATCCAACATGTGACCTTTTGGTTTACAGGTTGATGCTCCAACCAACTGAGCCACACAGACCAAGGCCTTAGCTTCGCCTTTTAATTCCAGTTTTCTATCAGACCTGCAGTTTCTGGGTGACATGGTACATGGTGGGACAAGTGGATCTCCCAAGGCCACGTGCTCATTGCCGTACCTTTTCCACGATAAAGCAGACAGATCCCCAAGGTCATGTTTTATAAGGTTGAGTGACAGCAAGTCACACACTGTAAATCCTTAGATGCTCTGTGTCTCTGTGGTGCTGGTGGAGGTACTGGCAGGAAGGCCAAGTCATACGTAGAACCTGGGTCAGTCCCCACGAGGATGGCCCAATGTCCCCTGGAGGGTGGAAGGTATCTATCTGATGTGATCAATTTACAACAAGCCGCTGGCTGGGCCCCTGGAGGCATGGTGCCAAGTCAAGGGCTCAGAGTTGGTCTCCGCCGCTGAGGGGTCAGATATTCAACAGAGGCTGCAGTTCAACTGGCTGTCGGGCCTCTGCGTAACCTGTCCCTGCCAGCACTGTCACTGTGTTCACGGGTCCAGAGTGCCAGTGTGGAGTAGCTGAAGGCTGTGTCTGGCTGATTTCCATGGCACAAGCCATCCTGTCTGCTGGGATGGTCAGGCGGCTGCTCTCAGATGGACACACATTGTGCCTTCTCTGTCATGGATCCATCTATTCGCCTCCTCACCGGAAATCTTTGTTCCCTATTTTCCATAATCTCCCTCCTACAAGTCCCCTACAATCAGGGCAGCCGTCTGCCACTGCCTGGAAATCCGTAGGTATCCTGCTGCCAGGCCGCTTCTCCCTCCCTGCCAAGTTGACGAGCAGGTCTTGTAGGAGACCCTACTCACGGGAAGAGCTGTCCCTCGCCACTGTTTTTCGCACCCCTGTGCGGGCCGTAATTCAGCAGCAGTCCAGTTCCTGTTTTTCCTGGCGTATCAAGCCTACCCGTTTGTGAGCGGGCCTGGATTCTTCCTCATCTATGAGCTGGTCCCAGGGAGCTTCCAAGGAGGCCATGGGGGTGAGCCGAGGGGAGGTGCGGTGGACATAGGTACCTGGGGGCCTGGGGGCCTGTTTAGTAACTGGTTTGCTCCCTCTGGCCCTCCTCAGGCCCCGTCTCAGATTCAGCATTTACATCCTAAACCAAACCTCTGCTTGTCCCACTCAACCTTGAGATGTGGAGGGTCTAAAAAATACCCTGCTGGTGATGGGCCACTCTGGTTGCACAGTGACCTAGTGTCCAAAGGTCATGTGCTTGTTGCCTACCCAGGCTCAGGAGCAAGCCGCAGCGGCTTTTTAAATAGTGAGGAATTCGGGACTTCCGCCACGATGGAGGCGTAGGTGGAAACACTCTGCTTCCTCGAACAACCAAATCTAAAAACAACAAAGTTTTAACAACAATAAACGTAATCAAACCACACAGAAAATCCACAATACGGAGTCCGAAAATAATGAACCACTCAGCTAAACTGGCACAAACAGATTAAAACATGGCTCAAGAAAAACTCAGAGCCCCAGAGCCAATAAATCTAAGCGATGAAGAAATAGCTAAACTTTCAGATGCACAGTTCAAAACACTGGTGATCAGGATGCTCACAGAACCGGTTGATTTTAGCCACAAATTAGAGGAACATATGAAGCCTAAACTAATTGAAATGAATGGCAATGCACAGGAAACCAATAGTGATGGAAAGGAAACTGGGACTCAAATCAAGGGAGTAGACCAGAAGGAAGGAAAAAATGACCAAACAGAAAAATATGAAGAATCAAGAATTCAAAAAAATGAAGAGAGGCTTAGGAACCTCCAGGACATCTTTAAACGCTCCAACATCCGAATTATAGGGGTACCAGAAGGGGAAGAGGAACAGCCACCAGTAGAAAACCTTATTTGAACAAATAATAAAAGAGAACTTCCCCATTCTGGCAAAGGAAATAGACTTCCAGGAAATCCAGGAAGCTCAGAGAGTCCCAAAGAAGTTGGACCCAAGAAGGAACACACCAAGGCACATCATAATTATATTAGCCAAGATTAAAATGAAGAAGAAAATCCTAGAAGCAGCAAGAGATAAGGGGACTGTCACCTACAAAGGAATTCCCATCAGACTGTCAGTGGATTTCTCAAAAGAGATATTACAGGCAAGAAGGGGCTGGAAAGAAGTATTCCAAGTCATGAAAACCAAAGACCTACAACCAAGATTGCTCTATCCAACAAAGCTTTCATTTAGAATGGAAGGACAGATAAAATGCTTCTCAGATAAGATCAAATTCAAGGAGTTCATCATCACCAAGCCCTTATTATATGAAATGTTAAAGGGACTTACCTAAGAAAAAGAAGATAAAACTCACAGTTATCAACAACCACACCTAAAACAAAAGTAAATTAAGAGGACAGCTAGATCAGGAGTGAACCACAGAAATGGAGATCACATGGAGGGTTAGCAACACGGGAGTGGGAGAAGGAGAAGGGGGGAGAAGGTACAGTAAAGAAGTAGCATAGACAGTAGATAGGAAATGGATAGGGTGGAGGGTAAGAATAGTAGGGAAAATATAGAATCTAGAGAACTTGAGACACGTGTTCATGAACTAAAGGGGGAAATGGTGGGGGAGGGGTGTACAGGGTGGAGGGGAATGGAGGGGGGAATAGAACAAATGTAAGGGCATAATCAATAAAATAATAATAATAATAATAATAATAAAAATAGTGAGGAATTCTCTTCCGCCAGTGGCACTGGTTCCGGAATGGGAGTCCTCGCACGCTGACCCCTGGGCCACATCTCACCCCTCACCTATTTTCATACAGCCTGCCAGCAAAGAATGGTCATTGTGTTTTACATGATCACACTTTAGATGTTTATTTGAATGCTTCCACAATAGTCTTGTCCTCGCCTCTTGGCCTGCAAGGCCTAGGGTATTTCCCATTTGACCCTTCCGGACAAAGTTTGCCAGCCCCGGAGCCTGCGCTGCAGCTCTCCTCCAACTCCCATCTGTCCTGGACTGAGAGGCCCTTCTGGAGGCACCGACCGCCCAGCGTTTCTGGCCTGCCTGGGACTCGGAAAGCCCTCGGGGGCACGTGCCGGTGGGAGGATGCCTCCGACAGACCCAAGACCAGTGAGGGGCCATGGGCGAGGCACCAGCAAGGGCCGGCGCCAGCCACTCTCCCATCTGACAGACATTCGTTGGGTACCTCCTGTTTTTGGTACCGAGGCTGCAGCAGGGAAGAGGGGCACGTGGCCCCCACTCTCACGGGCTTTCCCTTACGAACTGGGGAGGCCGACAACACACTGACAAACAAAATGCTGCAGGTTGTGACCTGCGTGCACTCTAGAGAGAATATAATGCCCCCATTAGAGAATAACGAGGGCCAGGTGTGGAGGGTGAGAGGCAGAAAGGGCAGGTCGCTCAGGAAGAGGTGTCTCCCTCTGGGCCCCGTGGAGGAAAAGGGCTGCCGGCTGCCTTTGTGCCGTGGGGGGCAGAGAAGCGAGGACCAATGATCTGAGCGGGAAAGGGCAGGGCGCCTCTGGGAAAGGAAGAGACAGGGGGAGAAACGGGGTGCCCAGGATGGCACCCACCATGCAGACTGGCTCTTGGAGCCTTGACGAGGAGTATAGATTTTATTCTAAGTGCCATGGGAAGCATGGGAAGGTTGGAGTGACATCATTGGAAGCTTTTAAAAAAGCTGTCTCTGGCCCTGGCTGGTGTGGCTCAGTGGATTGAGTGCTGGCCTGAGAACCAAAGGGTCACCAGTTCGATTCCCAGTCAAGGCACGTACCTGGGGTGTGTGCCAGGTCTCCAGTGGGGGGGGGGGCATGAAAGGCAACCACACAGATGTCTTTCTCTTTCCCTTCCCCTCTAAGAGTAAATAAATAAAATCTTTTAAAAAACCCCCAACTTCCTCTGGTTGCAACCCCCCCACTCCTGTTCTCCCACCCCCAAGTGGAGATTCTTGCTCAGTGTGAGGCTGTGGGGGACACCAGGAAGGCTGAGCCAATATCCCTGCCCCTAGAGGGGTGCTCAACTCTCTTCCCTACCTGGGCCCTGCCCACAACTCCCCTCCCTGGCCCCGTGACACGTGACACAGTGCGATCCATTGGAAGCTACTTTATTTTGATTGGTTTTCCCTGGGGTGGGGCTGGGAGGCCACGGGCTCTGCAGCTCGGTTCTAGGGATGCTGGTCTCCATCCTCAGCACTGCGGCGGCCAAAGTCCATCCATCCATATGCTTCTTCTTCCTCCAGCCACGGCCCCTGCTTCTTGGATAGGTCTGAAGATCAGAGTGGGGAGAGGAGGTAAGGATGGGGCAGGACACCTAGCCTTCGGGACTGAGGCCAGGGCCCAAATGGGCTGGGTGAGGCAAGCAGGGATGGCTGTCAGCAGCTCCTACCTGCCACCAGGTCTGGGGGGCCCTGGAATCTCAGCTGCCTTTGGTGGCGAGAGGCTGGGCCCAGCCGGTCGGGTGAATGTGGACCCAGGCCCCGATGGACCCCTGGACCAGACCGTACGTCCTGCAGCTGGGAGCCAGGCTTCCAAGAAGCTTCGGAGAAGGTGGCCAGAGCCAGGGCCAAGAGGAGCGCGCACACACACAGTCGCTGCATCTTGTCTGCCAAGGAGAGCAGGGCCCAGCTTAAAGGCAGGGCAGTGTCGGCACCCAGGGGGCAGGTCTGCAATTCCACAAGGGCTTGCGAACTGTTCCTGCTCAGTGTGGCAGCCACAAGCCCCATGTGGCTCTTAACACTTAACTTAATTAAGATAAACAGGCCTTCGCTTGCACTACCATGTGCCGAGCACACGCCTGGCTGGTGGAGACCCTGTTGGGCAGTTCAAATGCAGAACATCACCGTCATCATGGGGAGATCTTTTAGGAAGGGCTGTTCTGGGAAAGAGCTTGAGATGGGGTCCAGGAACCCTGCGTTCCAGTCCCAGCCTTGCCCAGTAACTTGGATTGCTTCTCCCTCTGGGCCTCGGTTTTCTCCCCTGAGAGATGGGAGATTAGCATTGGTCCTGCCCACCTCCCCAAGCTAGGATGCAAATGGAATAAGAGGGTCAGGGCTGGGCCCTGGGTGAAGCAGCAGATCAGCTCAAGGGCAAGGGTTGCGAAGCCAGGTGGGTCCTGGGGCTGTGACCTAGTCAGGCCCTGGGCTAAGGGAGGGGCCCAGGGCCTGGAGACATGGAGATATGAGCTTGGTACCTTGACAGGGCGTGTGTGTGGGGTCCCATCAACCCTCTTCCCAGCCTCTCACTCCCCTCCTGGGTGCTCTCACCTGCAGAGCTGGGAGTCCCCTGATGCTGAGGTCTGTCTGGTACCTCCCAGTCCTCTGCTGGGCTGGCAGCTCCAACCCTGCCTTATAAAGCCCTCAAGGCCCCTCCCAAGCCCTCTTCCCCCACGAAGCCAGACTCCCCACCACAAGGGGAGCAACCCCAGCCCTGCCCTGCCACCTAGAGTTCATCATCTGGATGTGGGGGAAGGGAAAAGGAGCTGACTTCAGGGTGGCGGGCAGGAGCAGGGTAGGGGCAGTTCTTCAGCTGGGCATGAAGGCAGGCCGCAGACAGGCTCCCTGGGGTCAGGAACAATGTCCCCACCAAGTCCTCGGGGTCAGAGGCTTGCTGCTCATCTCTCAGACTACTTCTCTTTGGGGGGCTGGTGAGGCAGATGAACCGAATGACCTTAGATGCAGAAAAAGCATCTGTCACCATACATTGACGTTTGCAGATTAGGAAGTGCGTGAATGTGGAGTGACATATTGATCGGCTGTCCCTTTGGTAGGCCTCTGCAAACAGGGCGTGCCATAGTTATCAGGAGCAATGGGCCAAGGGCTGATAGCCTCGCTCTCTGCCTGCTGCGTCCAGTTGGCTCTGAGACCCCGGCATCTTCCCTCACCCGGAAACCCCTGAGCACCGCCCCCTCTCCTTGAGCCCTCTCTGCTGGGCTGGATTTAGCTTGCAGCTGCCCCTGCATCTCCCCAGGCCTGCTCCTCATCCCCCACCTCTTGCAAACCCCCTTCCTAGAGCCAATTCCTTGAGGCTCCTGCACTTCGAGGCTCATGGGAAGACAGTAATCTACACAATACACCACCAGTTTTCAATATAGAAATACATCTTCAAATGGTTAGCAAAGAGCTCTGACTACCGTGGCTCAGTTGGCTGACCGTCATCTGGCAAAGCAAAAGCTCCCGGGTTTAAATCCCGGTCAGGGCACCTGCCTGGGTCACGGGCCGGGTCCCCAGCTGCGGCGCTTGCCTTTGATGTTTCTCTCACACATCGTTTCTGTTGCATATCGATCTTTCTTTCCCTTTTTCCTTCCCTTCTCCTCTCTCTCCAAAAAATAAAATAAAACAACAACAAAAAAAATGGTTAGCAAAGAGACCCAAGGGTTTGTCCAACATGTTCCAGGAAACCAAATGGAAGGCTTTGCTGACCTGTTTGATAACTGCCTGCTTGGGTCTGGTTTGGGTGCATGTAACCAGCTCTAGGCTGTCACGTATCCTTCCGCCGCGGAGACTAGAGATTTTGCTTTTGTTCGTGCGTCATTAGGGTCCTTCCTGGGCTGGAGGAGTTTAGAGGCCCCTTGGGTCCTGGATAAAGGGCAGTGGTACCCACGCTCACAGCCAGCTTTGCAGAGAATTAACAGGTGATGAAGAAAGCAGGTTTTGAGGTATCCATGGCAACAAGTGGCCGAATGTTCTGGTGAATAACCACCCTAATCCAGAGCAGGTCTCGGTGACTCAGCAGATAGAATGAATGTAAATGACCGAAACAGTGCGGGGGTTGGTGATAATAACTGAATCACAGAATCTCAGAGGTGGAAGGGACTTTGAAAGTACTGGCAGGGGTGGGGGGGTGGACAGAGGGGAGCAGCTTTGCTCATACCCTGAGATGAGATGTTTGTGTTGCCATGGTGACGGAAAATTATGAGCTTTCAGCAGAGTCCTGCTTGTACCAGAACGAAAGACTTGATTTCTGCTGCAGGGGGGTGGGGGGTGGGAGGTGGAGGGTTGGGTGGGGGGGGGCATTATGCTCCTTGGCTTTTCTTCTTCCCCCTCCTTCCCTCCCTCCCCCTCCTCCCCTCCCCCCCTTGTCCTCCTTCCTTTTTTCTTTTTTGCCCCTTGGGTTGTCTTCTGCAGGCTGGTGGCACAGGGGTGACAACTACACCAGGGAGGTGTGGACCCCTTCCCGTTAGGCAGGCGGGCAGAATGCCGCTGGGTAGGGCACTGGCCAGCGTGCAGCAGGGCTCAAGTTCACAGTCAAGAGAGAAAGCCCTCGCCCTGAGAGCTCACCATCAGAGTTGGCACCTTCCCCTCACAAGGGACCCCGTGGAGCTCTGGGCAGTTCTGTCCCTTTCTGAGCTGCTGGTTCCTCCAGGAACTGAGGGAAATAACTTGGGGGAGAGCTGTGTGCAGGTGACGTACGTAAGGCACCGTGCACAGTGCCTGGAATTTCAAATTAGTGCCCGGGCATCTAATTTGTCTCCACCTTCTTTCTTTATCCTCTCTGGGCATCCGTTGGCCTGTCTGTAAAATGGGAATCATTCATTCCTTCCGCACAGGGCTGCAGTGAAGGGGAAATGTGACAAGGACTGTGCGCTCACTGTCATGAGAGAGTCTCACCTCCCCCAAGGCATAAGGAAGGTAATTCCCTAAAAAGCACCTTTTCTGAACCCAAGGTTTTTTCTCCCACTGGCGGTGACGCAGAGGGATGACCGCCTTGAACTGTCACTGAAGGAGGCAACAGGATTGGAGCCCGTGGAGCCTGGCCCTGTCAGAGACCAGCGCCTGCTGGTATGAGGAGGGTTTGGGGTCTGGTGAAGCTGGGTGGAATCCAGGATCTAACACTCTGACTAGCAGGTGACCAGAAAATCCAGTGTCTAGGTCTGTCTACCAAGTGGAAGACCAGATCCCAGACCTGGGGCCCCGTCCCCGCCCTGTGGATCCTGCCCCTGCGCTCCCAGTGATGACTGCTACATGCCAGCCATTGTCACCACTGCCAGCCCTGTGCATGAACGAATGCAGTTGCTCTTTATCACGATCCTGGTACGTAAGTGGGCGTGTGTTCCAATTCTACACGTGACGAAACAGGCCCGGGCAGGTGAAGCAATCCGTGTCCTGAATTCACGTGACCAAGGAGAGCCGGGCTCAAATCTCACCTGTTTCTGGACCTTTCTTCTCTGGGGGGGGGGGGGCAGGGTGGTGGTGGGGGGCAGAGTAATGATTCTCCAAAGATGTCCACACCCCAGTCCACAGGACATGTGGATGTGTGACTTGGGCAAAAGGACTCTGCAGATGTAATTAATGTTACAGACTTTAAAACAGAGTCCTGATCCTGGATGGTCTGAGTGGGCCCAATTTAATCAGATGCGCCTTTAAAAGAAGAGAATGCTCTTTGGCTAGAGGCAGAGCTTCGAAGAATGGAAAGGACTTGACCTGCCCCTGTTGGGTCCAAGGTGGGAGGCGGAGGCCTGCAGGACAGGGTGTGACCCCAGTGGAGGCCCCACAGCCACAAACAGCTGAGTTCAGCCAACATCCTGCCTGAGCTGAGAGGCAGATTCATACCAGAGCCTTCAGCCAGGAGTGCAGCCCGGGCCACACCCTGCTTTTGGCCCAGTGAGCCACACCGAGCCTGGGCTTCTGGGCTGCAGAACTGTGAGAGAGTGGGTTTGTACAGTCTGAAGCCTTAATTGGTGGTAGTTTTTTATTTTTTTTGTTCCTCATCCGAGGACGTGTTTCTTGATTTTGGAGAGAGAGGAAGGAACTGAGGGGTGGAAGGGAGAGAAAGAAAGAGAGAGGGAGAGAGAGGAACATGGATGTGAGAGAGAAACATCGATCGGTCGCCTCCCATACGTGCTCTGACTGGGGATCAAAACCGAAACCCAGGGGTGTGCCTGACTGGGGGTGGACCCCACAGTCTTCTGGTGTATGGGATGACGCTCCAACCAGCTGAGCCGCCCTGCGGGGGCAAATCGGTGATAATATTTAGGGCGGCAACAGGAAATGCGTGCAAGGGTTTCCAGCCCCAGGAAGGCTTCTGTCAGTGAGAAGCAGCCCCAAGTGAGTTTGCCTGTGGTTTTCCAAATGCATTAGGGTGGTGGGCTGATCATCTGTTCCATTTTCACTGCAGTTATTGAGCGCCTGCTGTAAGCCAGGCTTTGGTGAGGCCCTAGGGTAAGAGACGAGCATGGTGGCCCTTTCCCTGCCTCGGGGGAGTTTAGGTTCTAGGGGAGGGGTCACATGCAGAAAAATAGACATGACAATGGTGCCCTGTGAAGGGGAGAACAGTTCCTGGGAGGGGACCTCTCCAAGGGCAGCTCTGCAGCCTGACCACAGGCAGACTTGGGAAGTGTCACCGTTATTGGTGATCGCCATGCTGGCTTCCTTGATGGAGGAAAAGGCAGACGCAGATGGTGGCTCAGTCACGCTGTCCCAGGCAGTGGGGCCTTGGTGGGTGTGAAGGTGCTGGGACAAGTAGTGACACCTGGGAGGTGTTTGTGTCAACGTGGGCATCCATGGCCCCTTCCCCAGGCAGGGGGTTGGGGTGGAAGAAGGGCCTTGCCTGTTGTCTGGGACCAAGAGGACGGCCAGCATGCTGCTCTCTGGCTGAGCTG